GGCGACTTTTATTGGAAATCAAAAGAATTCAAGATCGGAGGCATTAGGCGCGAAAATCCCATATGCAAAGTTGTTGTGGCTCCGGGCTTGGATTCAGCTCCTGTGACTGATATGAGTTCAAGTGAGGAGGTCATGGCAGAAAAATATGAGCCGGCATGGCTCAGTGATTGGACTGATAACCAGGATGAGGAGATGGACGTGACAAAGGACGACAGACCTGATGTATTAGAATTGTCAGGACCTTTGAGCTCCTCTGGTTCCTTATCTGATCAACAGCCGGGAATGGCTGACAGGGAAGTTTTGAGAGAGTCTTCTAGTGGAGATGAGAACTTGGAAAATTTGTGGTTAAATGTAAAAAATAGAAGACGGTTGAAAAGGCAAAATCAACTGGAGCGAATGAGGAGAGCGAGTCAGTAAATTAGCACGTTGCCTCAATGAGTATAAAAGGACACAGCTGGGCTGGTACATTTCGCCAGGAACGAAGTGACTATTTGAGTGAGGACGTTACAGCAAGAAGCTCTGAGACTGGAGATTTATTTTGCCAGGACTGGTTTGCCGGACAGAGTAAAGATTTATGCTGTGGTTTCTGCCAGCCGTTATCTTGTAAGACTTCTTTCCGTTTGATTTAATTGTGAAACGGCTGCTTTCTGCTTTGTTCGTTTGAATTTTGAAGGGGAGTCGTAACACAAAGTTATGGCAATGTTCCCACCCAGAGTAGTTCAAACTGGCCATCCCATCTGAAATGCGTATAATGTCATGGGAGGGGCACCTTCAGCTGGTGTTTGAGACATCTGGCTCCCCAGGAGAGTTGACCTTGTCTTGGATAGATAAGAGGCTACCGCTGCAAAAATAAGCAAGTAAGCATAGTCAAGAAAGTTTGCGCAAGTTTTACATTTCACCATCGCAAGCCTCCAGCATTTTCCCCCCCACCCCGCCCCCCAAAGCCCAATTAATCCCCCCTCCCATTTCTATGGCAGCCGGAAAGACCAGCGGAAGAAGGATTCTTGGAGGCTGACATGAAGTCACTTTTTTTCAGTGCCATTGTAACTGAACAGTCCCTAAATGAACTGGTGTAAGTCGAGGACTACCTGTATTTTTAGAAATCGGCAGCTTTTGCCAAGGTAGTCAAAACCGCTCTCTTTTTAAAAGGTGAGCTTGAGCTGCCAGTTGAAGAAAGAGGGCAGGCTGAATGCTTTTTTTTTAAAAAAAAAATCACGGGATAGAAGAGGGCAGACTTACGACCACAATTAAGCCCAACAGTTCTGTTGTTGAGTGAGACATCTGTTGAGTGCGTTTTGCCATATTTTACAACCTTTCTGTCGTGCGCCTGTCAAGAGTCTGAATCCGAGGAGGAATACGAACAGCTGACAGGAAGTGGGAGCATAGCTCTGTTGGCTGTGGAGGAGGCTGGGGAAGGGCAAAGTCCAGCTGGGCAGAGCAGGGGAGAGTTAAAACAAGGGAGAGGGAGTTCAGAGGAAGACCCAGGCCTATCCGCTCTTCATCCTAGGGCACACAAGGAGGAACAGAGAAGGGAGCAATGGGGGTTGCGTGGCTTACGGGGGAGGAAAGGGCCCTGATTCCCTTCATTAGACACAGCTGGGAATGAAAGTTTATAAGAACTGAATGCTGACTGCGGCAGTTGCTGGGAGCAAATGTTGAGTTTATCCTGTGTTGTTGTTGCTTATTTGTCTTCCTGGCGTCATCCCAACCATGTGAGTTTTGCCGTGCCTTCATGTCTGGAATTCTTGCTTCTGCCCTGCCAAACTCATTACTTCAGCTTTGTTTGTTTGGACTTTTAAGTTACAGTTTTTGTTGACCACGTTTGGGACTTGATTCTCTGCAGCCCAAGGCTGTTCCTGGGGAGGGTTTTTCTCCAGCCCAGAAGGTCACCCGGACATTGGGGGCCAAGTTGGAGCTAATAAAGAGACACTTCTTGATTATCTGACTGCGTTGCCTTTGTGCCACGCTCCTTTGGGTCATCACACTTTCTTGCCACAGTTGTCGAGTGAATCCCTGCAGCGGTTAAGTTAGCGACACGGAATTTTGCTTGTCAGAAGGCTGCCAAAGGGAAATCGCGGGACACGGCAACCGTCATAAATATGAGTCAACGGCCAAGCGGTGCTCTTGCCAACTTTGGAACAGCATAAAAAAAAAATGGGGGACGGGTTGTATCCGGGGCCTCTTCTCCCCCCTTTCCAGTGAAAAAACCCCTCCCCCCTGCAACCTGCAGCCTGTCCAGCCCCACTTACAAATAACCGGATCCAGATATGAAAAATATCGCAGCGATTTGAGAGACTGCTTTGAGATAACGTACTGCAAAAGCTTTATCCAGCAGCATGTTCAGCCACCCGTGTTCGAATTGTATTGGCAGGTTATCCTTGTTTGACGTTTGATGATGGGGGACGTGCTTGCTTATGAAGCAGAGCTGCTGGGAATGGTGAAAGAGGTAAGTTTTTCTGGGTTTTTGACACCTGCCGGCCCCAAAGGTTCACCTCTACCCCTGGGGTGGAAGCTGCTGCCAAGCCCTTCGCCCCGGATTTTTTATTTATAAATCCAACGGGTAGGCCAGCCATTTTGTAATGTCTCCCTGTGCATGGTTGACAAATTAAAAAGACATCCTGTAAAATAAAAACAGAGAGTGAGATAATATGGAGACTAAAGAAACAGATACTCCTTCATTTATCCCCACAGTTGAGGCCAGCCTTTCTGTTGTTAAGCGAGACACTTTTTACATGACTTTTACTCCGTCTTTCTTTCTTTCTTTCTTTCTTTTTTTCTCTTTCTTTCTTTCTTTCTTTCCTTCCTTCCTTCCTTCCTTCCTTCCTTCCTTCCTTCCTTCCCTTCCTTCCTTCCTTTCCTTCCTTCCCTTCCTTCCTTCCCTTCCTTCCCTTCCTTCCTTCCTTCCTTCCTTCCCTTCCTTCCTTCCTTCCTTCCCTCCTTCCTTCCTTCCCTTCCTTCCTTCCTTTCCTTCCTTCCCTTCCTTCCTTCCTTCCCTTCCTTCCTTCCCTTTCCTTCCTTCCTTCCTTCCTTCCTTCCTTCCTTCCTTCCTTCCCTTCCTTCCTTCCTTCCTTCCTTCCTTCCTTCCTTCCTTCCTTCCTTCCTTCCTTCCTTCTTTCTTTTTTAAATCTTAAATTTTTATTAAGTAAACATTAAAAATGGTTGAACACAGTGCAACTTTCTTGGCCATCATTTTGGCCATACATACTATAGCAGGGGTGTCCAACCTTGGCAACTTTAAGACTTGTGGACTACAACTCCCAGAATTCTTTTGCTGGCTGGGGAATTCTGGGAGTTGAAGTCCACAAGTCTTAAAGTTGCCAAGGTTGGACACCGCTGGGCTATAGCATAGAAATACAGTAGATATAACAGTTAATTTTCCCCTTTTTCCCTACATTGTTAATTTAATGCTGGTTAAATATTTGTTTCCATTTACATTTATAGAATTGAATTGTTTATTGTCGTTTTACGGATATACACAGTATACCTCCAATGAAATTCACCTAATACCCAGAGACCAGACTCAACATGCACACAAACATGACAATCCCCAAACAACCTCCCCGCCCACCAAAATTCCCCGCCTCCTAAAAAACACACAAGCATTCCACACAACAGACCCCAGTGATCCTATCCAACAGCTCACTAACGGTGGTCCTTAAGTTCACTGTTAAGTGCAATTATAGCTCTGGGATCAAAAACTGCTCAGAAAAAGTCTGGTCCGAGTTATATACATATTTACAACCTAGCTTCTTTTCCATCGCCTTTTTCCCCTTGTAGTTTTTATGTTCATATCATATTTGTCCATTATATTTCATTTTTCTTTCACTTGCAAAACTTTCATTCCTATAAAGCGTCAACAACTACTTCTTTATCTTGACTTCAGCCATTGATAACATTTTACTCCAGGCTTCACGGTACTCTGTCTCACGCTTATCCTTCATTTCTAGAGTTTGTCCATCTTTGCACATGTTACCACCTTTCTTGCTACCGTTGTTAAGTGAATCCCTGCAGTTGTTAACTTAGGAGCACAGTAGTTTTTGTTAATATCCAAAAGTGCTTTTTTTTTTTTTTTTTTGCAAGAGGCAACTGGAGTTTATGGTTTTTCTTTGAAGACGTTTCACTTCTCCTCCAAGAAGCTTCTACAGCTCTGACTGGTGGGGAATGGAAGGATTTCTATTCCTTACAGACATCTGGTCATTTGTATCCTTTAGAGGGTCGTTGAGGCCACTTGGAGGTTTGTCTGGGTCCTCGGGGTGCTTTTTTTTCAAGACACAACTGGACTTCCTGTTTTTTTCTTTTAAAAACTTTCGCTTCTCATCCAAGAAGCTTCTTCAGCTCTGACTGGATGGTGGGGAATGGAAGGATTTATACTCCTTGCAGAAAAGCTGGTCATTTGCATCCTTTAGACGGTCATTGAGGCCACTTGGAGGTTTATCTGTGTCCTCAGGGCCACCCGAGTAGCATGAATGGGCGTGGAGCCTGCTTGGAACTGCTAAAACGACTGAGTTGCAGGCTGCGTTTGGTAATTCCAAGGAGGCTCCACATCCATTTGTACTATTCAGGTGATTCTGAGGACGCAGACAAACCTCCAAGTGGCCTTAATGACCCTCTAAAAAGGAGGCAAATGACCAGCTGCCTGCAAGGCATATAAACCCTTCCATTCTCCACCATCCAGTCTGAGCTGAAGAAGCTTTTCTGATGAGAAGTGAAACCTCTTCAAAGAAAAAACCAGAAAGTCCAGTTGCCTCCTGAAAAAAAAGGCACCGTTGGGACAACCCTGACTTGGATGACTGAGAGTCTCCTTTGACATTTTCGCTCAATATTTCTTCGCCGACAGTCTCTTAATGGGAAACGTGTCACAGATTCTCCTTCTCCTTCTTGCCTTCGCAGTATTTGGACTTTGCTGAATTTGAAGACACGGTGAAAACATTTACCAAAGAATGCAAAATAAAAGGGAAACCACTCCCCAAAACTAGAAGCAATTCCGCTAAAGACTCCAAGGCTCTAATCATTCAGGTAATGCTTCCTTTATGAGGGGTGGGTATGTCATCATCATCGTTGTCATCAACAAGAGTTGGAAGGGATCGCGGAGGTCTTCTATTCCACCCCCACTACTCAAGCGGGAGACCCTATACCCATGGTACCTAGCCTTTTTGGGCTCCTGTGCCCAAAATTGTGTGCGCGCTTGCATGCCAGCACCCAGAAGGCAATGCGCGCGTCCCCCCCCATGTCCCCCGCACATGCACGCGCAATCCCCCACTCCCGCCACCCCCTTACCTGTACTGGGCCTCCCAGTGGATTTTCGGCCTCCCAGAGGCTTGAGGAAAGCTTCCGCAGGCTGAAAAATAGGCCCATTTCGTCACTTCCGGTATTTCCGGAAATGCAGGAAGTGATGAAACAGACCTATTTTTTTGGCCTGCGAAGGTTGCAGAAGCTTTCCTCAAGCCTCTGGGAGGCAGAAAAAAGGCTTCAAATTTGCCGAAAATCAGCTGGGAGGTGCATGCCTACGTAGTGAGGTAAGTTTGCCAAGAGCTCACGTGCTTGCACAAATGGCTCTGTGTGCCACCTCTGGCATGCGTGCCCTAGGTTTGCCATCACGGCCCTATGCCATGACTGTGTCGGGTTTTATCGTTTAAAAGTGAAACCTAGAGGCTGCCGTGGTTAACCTTTTTTACAAGGCATTTATGTAGCCCTAAGTTATTTGCTGTGAGAGAAAAAAGTTACAGCATCATTCATTAAGGAACCATACTTGTGATAATTTCTGAAAATGGCACGAAGACGTCTCTACAAATATTATTTGACTAGCTCGATCCCCGTGCTTCGCTACGAAACTATGTGATCGGGCTTAGTTTTTAGGGAGGGAAAAAGGGGGGGGGAATATCATAATAGAATATTTAGAACTTTAGGAAACAATGAATACATATTTCTTTTTTTTCTTCGATAGTATTTTGATAAAATTTTATTAAGATAGACTTGGTGTGACTTTATGATTTGCTATAAAATCAATTAAGTAAACTATAGTTATCTCGTTAAAATATGAATCAATAAAATTATAGTCAAATGATTGTTTAATAATGATATCAGGCTATATAATTGTTGATTGATAATATGAGCTATTATGTAATATAACTACAATGGAGACTATGAAATAAATGGATGCACAAAAAAAAGTGGTAAACCAACCGACACACTGTCTGTGAACTCATGAAGGAAAGGATGATGTTTTTTTAGTTTTATGTGTATTTGTTTGTTGTTAACATTAATAAAACTGTTTTCAAAAAAAAGGTGGGGGGGTGGAATTCTGCCTGCCTACCAGCATCCATCGGTATTCATCTGGCTAACGTCCTGTCAGTGTGTGAGAGAGTGGAGGGCTGTTTGGAAACTGAAACAGTATTTGCTGTGTGAGCAAGAAGGAGGCAGCAAGGAGCCTGGGCGTGGCTTAGCTCAACTGTTCTGTACTAAAGCTGCTTGGTGCTGCTGTGAAACTGAAACTAAAATTTTTCTCTGCTTGTGTTTTGCATTTGGAAGAGATTTCTTTTCTGATAGAGCCGGGGAGTAGAACTCCTTAGCATCAGAGCGTGTTAATAATAATAATATAGGAAATACTAATAGCTCTGATGGTCATTTGGAAAAAATCCTTTCTTAGTGAGCACCTAGGAGCCAAGAAGGACATAAGAGCCAAATTTCAAGTTTGTAGGCTTGACAGTTCTGGAGATTTTGTGATGATTTGTGAGTGGTCTTTCGCAGAGATAGATAGATAGAGAGAGAGAATAGATAGATAGATAGATAGATAGATAGATAGATAGATAGATAGATAGATAGAT